TTGTTCGTTTCATCTAGATTTTTGAGTTTGTCTGGATAGATGTGTTTATAGTATTCTCTGATGGTTGTTTGCATTTCTATGGAGACAGTGGTATTATCCCTTTTATCATTTTTTATTGTATCTATTTGATTCTTTTATCTTCTATTTATTAATCCAGCTAGCAGTATATTTATTTTGTCAAATTTTTTTCCAAAAAAACAAGCTCCTGGATTCATTGATTCCTAAAACGATTTTTTTTTTGTGTCTCTGTCTACTTCAGCCCTGCTCTGATCTTGGTTATTTCTTGTCTTCTGATAGCTTTGGGGTTTGTTTGCTTTTGGTTCTCTAGCTCCTTTAGTTGTGAAGTTAGGATGTTGATTTGAGATATTTCTAGCTTTTCTGTGTGGGAATTTAGCACTATAAATTTTCCTTTTAACACTGCTTTAGCTGCATCCCAGATATTCCTGTACATTGTCTTTTTGTTCTCATTAGTTTCCAAGAATTTCTTGATTTTTTCTTTAATTCATTATATACCCTGAGTTATTCAGGAGCAATTTGTTCCAATTCCATGTAGTTATGTGGTTTTGACTGAGCTTCTTAATCTTGAATTCTGATTTCATTGCACTGTAGTCAGAGAGAATGTTATGATTTCAGTTATTTTGCTTTTGCTAAGGAATGTTTTACTTCCAATTATGTGATCAGTTTTAGAGTAAGTGCCATGTAGTGATGACAAGAATGCATATTCTATTGTTTTGGGATAGAGAGTTCTGTAGATACCTGTCAGGTCCACTTGATCCTGAGCTGAGTTCAAGTCCTGAATATCTTTTTAAAATTTTTTGTCTCAATGATCTAATACTGACATTGGGGTGTTAAAATCTCCCACTATTATTGTGTGAGAATCTAAGTCTCCTCATCAGTCTGTAAGTACTTATTGTATGATTTTGGGTACTCCTGTATTGGGTGCATATATAGTTAGGATAGTTAGCTCTTCTTGTTGAATTGAACCCTTTACCATGTGTGATGCCCTTCTTCATCTTTGTTGATCTTTGTTGGTTTAAAGTCTGTTGTGTCAGAAATCAGGATTGCAATCCCTGTTCCACCCCCCCACCCCCACCATTTGCTTGGTAAATTTTCCTCCATTTCTTTATTTTGAGCCTATGTTCATCTGCACCTGAGGTGGGTCTCTTGAATATGCACATAGATGGGTCTTGACTCTCTCCAGCTTGCCATTCTGTGTCCTTTAATCGGGGCATTTAGCCCATTTACATTTAAGCATAATATTGTTATGTGTAAATGTGATCTTGTCTTCCTGATCCTGGTGGTTACTTTGCAGACTTGCTACTATAGTTGCTTCATAGTGTCATTGTCTACATACTTCTGTGTGTTTTTTGAAGTGGATGGTGATGGTTTTTCTTTTTCATATTCGGTGTGTCTTCCAGGAGCTCTTGCGAGGCAGGTCTGGTGGTGATTAATTCTCTCAGCATATGCTTGTCTTAAAATGATTTTATTTCTCCTTCATTTATGAAGCTTACTTTGGTAAAATATGAAATTCTGGGCTCTTTAAGAATGTTGAATATTGGTCCCTTTCTCTTCTGGCATGTAGAGTTTCCCCTGAGAGGTCTGCTGTTAGTCTGATGGGCTTTCCTTTGCAGGCGACCTGGCTTTTCTCTCTGGCTGCCCTTAAATTTTTTTCTTTTACTTCAAATTTGGAGAATCTGATGATTTTGTGTCTCGGGGTTGATCTACTCATTGTGTCTTTTACCAGGGTTCTATGGATTTCCTGAATTTGAATGTTGCCCTGTATTTCCATGTTGAGGAATTTCTCCTGGATGATATCCTGAAGTATGTTTTCCAATTTGGTTCTATACTCCCCATCTTTTCAGGTACCCCAATCAGTCATAGGTTCAGTCTTTTTACATAATCTCATAGCTATTGGAGGTTTTGTTTGTTTCTTTTCATTTTTTGTCTCTAATCTTGTCTGTAGAAGATTAGAGATTTCTGCAAGATGGTCTTCAAGCTCTGAGAGTCTCTCCTCCACTTTGTCTATTTGGCTATCGATACTTGTGGTTGCATTGTAAAGTTCTCACGTTGTGTTTTTCAGCTCTGTCAAGTCATAAGTTCCTTTCTAAAGTGGTTGTTCTGGTTAACAGCTCCTGTAATGTTTTATCATAGTTCTTAGCTTCTTTGCATTAAGTTAGAACATACTCCTTTTGCTCAGGAAAGTTCATTATTACCCACCTTCTGAAACCTATTTCTGTCAATTCATCCATCTCAGCCTCAGCCCACTTCTGTGCCTGTACTGAAGAGGTGTTGCAATCATTTGCAGGAGGAGAGACACTCTGGCTTTTTGAATTTTCAGCATTTTTTCATTTATATTTTCTCATCTTAATAGGTTTATATCTACCTTCAGTGTTTGAAGCTGTTGACCTCTGGATGGGGTTCTTCTAGGGTCTTTTTGATGATGTTGTTGTTGTTTTTACTTTCTGTTTGTTTGCTTTTTTTTTTTTTTTTTTTTTTTTTAACAGTCAGGGTCATATTCTGCAGAGCTGCTGCGGTTTTCTGGAGGTTCACTCCAGACCCTGTTTGCCTGGGTCCCTCCTGCACCTGGAGGCATTACCAGTGGAAGTTGCAGAACAGTAAATATGGCTGCCTGCTCCTTCCTCTGGGAGCTTTTTCCCAGAGGGGCACCAATCTGATTCTGGTGGAAACTCTCCTGTATGAGATGTCTGGTGAGCTCTTTTGGGAAGTCTCACCCAGTCAGAAGGCACAGAAGCAAAAAACTGTTAAAGAAGCGATCTGACTGCCCTTTGGTTGCACTGGGGGAAAATCTCATGCATCCAGACTGCCTGGATTTCTCAGAGCCTGCAGGGGGAAAGACCAACTCTGCTGATCTGCAGAGACTGTGGTGGCCCCTCCTCCCAGGGGTTCTGTCCCAGGGAAATCAGATTTCTGTCCCTAAAGCCCTGGTTAGAGTTGCTAAAATTCCCACAGGAAGGCCCTGACTGGTAAGGATGAATGAATCTGGGTCTCACCTAAATAAGCAATCTGGCCACAATATGCCACAGCCATTGTGCTATGCTGTGGAGAATTCCACACAGTCCAAACAGCCCAGTCTCCCCAGTACTGACAGGGGAAAATGGCCGATTTGAGCGGCAGTGATGGTGATCTCTCCTCTCCCCAGGAGCTCTGTTGTCTTAGGCAGTCTCCAGCCTGCTGCCACAACCCAGGCAGCCCCAAAGAATCTGCACAGCTCTGTGGAGACCCCAGGTCCTAGGGGTGTGGGCTCACAAGGAGATTTCCAGATGTGTGGGTTTCACAGACCCGTGGGCAAAGCATGCTTTCCCTGACCAGGGTAGCACAATCACTAACCACTTCCCTTGGCTGCAGGTAGAAGTCCCCTTACCCGGTTCAGTTCCTGGATAAAATGTCGTTCCACCCTGCTTTTCCTCACTCTCCGTATGTCATGACAACAGCTTAGTCAATTCCAGTGAGAGAACCTGGGCACCCCAGCTGAAGATGCAAGATTCACTCACCATATTTGTTCTTCTCAGTGGGATCCACAGACCAGAGCTGCTTCTAATCAGCCATCTCATCGCATATAATTTAGATGACAAAATTCATGATAAGAGAGTCTGGCTCCGGCCAAGCACTCACATAACAATATCCACACAAGCAGTGTCAATGTGCAATTGGATGTAAAGCCAGATTGCTTTAATACAGTTGAAAAGGAACACTTCGTATCTTCTGGTTTGAGCCTCACCAGTTGATATAAACAGGTGAAGTACACTTGAGAACATATTTCCTAAAAGAGAAAAGAAACCAATAGCTTATAATGCATACATGAAATCATTTGAAATAAGTGTTCAACAAATTACACTCTTTTGCAATAGCTGTTCTGAAAGTTGAATCTAAATTGAAATCATTATCAATACCATCTAGTAGTTTACAAAATGATTACAGTACGTATTTGCCCATCAAGCTATTTTACTGAGATTATTTTCATGTTCTTATGACACCTATAGAATGTTTGGAGAGAATTAGACATTTTAGTGAATAGATTAATATTAAGATTATTTTATATATTTATCTAGCTCATAAATGCAAGGTATATTTCTGTGATGATTTATAATCTGTGCTACATCCTTGCTCTTGATTTGGCTATGATTTCTCCCGCATTCAATGCAGAAGCAGAATTAAAGAGGAAGAAAGTCTGTATGCTCACAAAATATTACATTTAGTCACCCTATTTTAATGATTAAACATAACAGAATGTATATTGTGAACGCAGACCTAGGCCTGTCCAGGATTTACAACAAACAAAGAACAAACCTCCCAGCCACAATTTCAGTGTTCCAGGCTCTACTTGCAAGTATCAAGTTGGGGGTTTATGTCATACTTTAAACGTTGTCTCATTCCCTTAACCTTATAATGTTTTAGTTTCCTTATCAGTAAAATGGAGATGATAATTGCACTACTTCACCAGGTTACTTATAAAGTTCAATTACAAACAATATGAAGCGTAGGGCATAATGCTTAGTATAAAGCAAGAAATCAAATAACTATAATTTTATTCAGGACACATGTAGAAGTCAGTCTCAGTTAACTGAAGCATCACGTCTAGTCCTACAGCACAGAAAGCAAACATGTTACTTCCGTGTTGAGCAACTTCTATTCTAAGTTCAAAAGTACATGTGCAGGATGATCCAGCTTTTTTTTTTGAGATGGAGTGTCTCACTCTGTCTCCCGGACTGGAGTGGCACAATCTTGGCTCACTGCAGCCTCTGCCTCCTGGGTCCCAGCGATACTCCTGTGTCAGCCTCCTGGATAGCTGGGATTACAGGCACGCATCACCATGCCCAGTTAGTTTTTGTAGATACATTTTTTTTTTTTTTCAGTAGAGATGGGGTTTCACCATGTTGGCCAGGCTCGTCTGGAACTACTGACCTCAGGTGATCCACTGGCCTTGGCTTTTCGAAGTGCTAGGAATACAGGCCTGAGCCACCACACCCAGCTGAGGATGATCAACATCTTATTATGACTAATGAATAGAATCCAGAAGCTGAAGGGAGGGAGAGAAAAAGCATAGAGAGGTGGGCTGAGAATCAGTATTGATGAAATACCACTTGGTTAAAAGTACAGACAAAATAATGATTAACCCTAACCTGTTAGATGTAGTATTGATAACTTTTCACAGTTTATGTTTAATTCTAACTCTTCATGCCTTGACACTCCGTTGATTTATTTTTTTAACTTCCTGGAACATCTTGCAGCAAAAAACAGAAAAATGTCAAGCACGCAGCTACAGCAGTGGAAACTACTTTGAAGTTTGAAAGCAACTTGTGTAGGTAAGTCTGATTTTTATTTAATCATTAAAATCTTTAAGATCTTTCTGTTTATTTTTTTTTTTTAAATTCGACACAATATATCGTGTAAGGGATTTCTAATCTTTCTGAGATATGTACTGTGAGGCAGCAAGCCTTTTCAGCCAAAAATAAATATACAAATAAAAGTCCCTAACGTTTAGAGTTGAAAAGCAAAGAATTAGATAAGAAACATTAATTAGAAGGGCCTGGAAGGGCTGTATACTCAGTACAGATGGTAAAAATAAATCACTTTTTGTGAGACTTATTTCTAGGCAAAAGTGTCAGTGGAGTGGTATAAATATGCTCAGTATTTTGTTGATTTGTTGCTATTATCCTTGGAGAAAATATAGAATATTATAAGCAGTTCATTAATTTTTACATATTTTTACTAAAACTCTGTGTGTAAATTAAATATAGAAAAAATAAATAATGAATTCCCATGTTATTAGAACAAAAGCATATTCTCAGTGAGGAAACTAAAAATTGGACTTTGCTATTTAAGTATAAACCAATACACTTTGTATATTTTTACATGACAAATCTTATCAGTAATTGAATGTACTTTACCAATTTTAGATCACATAACTGCCAAAAAAGATGCGTATTTTCCAGTTTTTCACATTTAGTGATTCACAATTCAACTTTAATTCTCTTGTTGGTGAGAACAGTTATTCTTTTCTATTCTTTGTCTTTGAACTTCTGAGTTAAAATGCATTTGTAACTTCAAGTTTACAAGTACAGAGTTACTTAAGAAAAAACTCACATCTTTCCCCCACAAACACATGTTCTGATAATCTCTGAATTAAACTTAGTGAAGAGTGTGTTGTACACTTTTTCCTTCATCATCTTTTTTGGGTTTTTTTTTTTTTTTTTTTTTGAGACTTCTGTCCTCAGGGAGTGCAGGGGTGGGATCTCAGCATGCTGCAACCTCTGCCTCCTTGGTGCAAGCGATTCTCTTTCCTCGGCCTCCAGAGTAGCTGAGACTACAGGTGTGCACCATTGCACCTGGCTAATTTTTGTATCTTTAGTAGAGTTTGGGTTTTGCCATGTTGGCCAGGCTGGCCTCAAACTTCTGATCTCCAGTGATCCAGCCACCTCAGCCTCCCAAAGTGCTGGGATTACAGGCGTGAGCCACCGCACCCAGGCTTCACCACCTTTCTGATGCTGAGATCCACACGTTCTATAACTTCTAAAAGCACTTCTACTTCCAGGTTTTGATTTCCCTTGCCACTCAGAATTTAAATCAATTAATAAGATTCAATAAATTTTGAAATTGCAGTACAAATTTAATGGTACATATTGACTTTCCCTTTTGTTTTTTCAGGACAAGCTCAGGAGGGCTATCTAACAGCAAGAGCAATGAGAACCATCAAATCTCCAAGAGGCCTACATCCCAACAGCACCATATAGATAAATACCCCCAGAAGAAAAGCTACTGCAATTCCCCATTGAAGACTTCCTTCTAGGCAACGATGCTTGTAGTGACAACAAGCAAGAGAACAAAGATTTTCAAACACTCAGTTCACTTTTTTCATTAGATCTATGCCTGCAAGCTAATCAACCACTCTGCGATAACCAGGAAAGTCCCTTTCTGGTGTGCTCAGAATCATTCCCATTCAATCACAAATCAAGTCTTCTCAGTCACTCTCCTGTGTGTGTTGTATATTGTTCAAACTCCTCCTGGAAACTTGGCCTTGACTTAGAGCTACTTAGACCATAGGTCACCCTACCATCACTCCAGGAATGCTGTATGGAAAAGATCAGTGTGCAGCAGGGATCTCAGCAGCCTATGAAGCCCAGCTTCATTTGGGCTCACCTCAGTTGTGAGATAGCAAGAATGTAATATCACTTCAGCCACTTCTTGTTTTTGCTTCTCACAATAGCTTGCTGACTGGCACAGATTTTACTGAAAACAATCAACTTGATGCTTTTTATGTCTATTTAATATATATTAAAGATAAAATTGTTGATATTTTATTAACATACTTTATTGTCTGTGTATTAATAGTTTACGACGATTTCTGTTAAACAAACATGTAAGATAGAATAATTTATTATGTATTTCCCTCCAAAATCATTTCCAACTACATATTACATACCTAATATTGGACATATATACTCTCCCAAATTCAAGAAGTACATTTCTTACTTAAATAAAATTGCCCATAACTAAAGAAAAAAGGCAGTGTTTCTTCTCGTTGGTTTTAATTACAACTTTCCTTTTCCCTATAAAATCATTTTATGATTTGAAAATGACATTAACTTTATTATGCTATATCATTATAAAGGTGATTCCTGCTGATGGTAAATTTAATTTCAATCATAGGAATAGTACTTATAGTGTCATATCTGTCATCTTGATTTATAATTTCTGTTTTAAATGCCTTCTTACTTTTTTTACATTCCATTTGTGATGTTATCCACATTATTTTTTTAATATCACTATATACTCTGCAGACACCCACTGATTTGAAAAATGTAACATTATTTTACTTTTATGCTTCTACCAATACTTGTTTTTACATCTTATGTAATTATTTCTTAATTTATTAATGTTAGAATTTAAAATAAAGCACTGCTGATGCCTCCTTATAAAATAAAATAATTTGTTACTTATCCTTCCAATTCCTGCTTTTAAGGCACATGTTGGTTTGTATGATCTTGAATTTTTGCCACCAGCTCAAAAGGTAAAATGATAATAATAGTATTAATCAAATAATTATAATTATTTTACATAACTGAATATATTCGTCTAGTCATAATATTGCATTTGTTATGTAATTTTATTTACTGTATTTATTTTTGTATTTACAGTATTTTCACATGCCTTTTCAAAACCATATTAATACAACTTTGCCATTGGTAGATTCTTGTTTTGCTCAATTACTCAGTTATTCAATAGCACTCAGGATCAAGTGAATTTTCCTTAAAGATTTGTGTTCTTCCAGCTTTTTTGATAATTTAGAGGATATTCTACAAGGTCATTCCATAATCATTCCTCTGGCTATGGGATTAGTTGTCACACTCACTTTCAAAAATGGTTCTGTACATGTTCAGCCATTCACTCATTTATTTATTCAAGAAATATTTTTGAAGTTAAATGACACATCTGGCAGTATGCCAGGAGCTGGAAATATCACAGTCTGGAGTGAGAAGGAATTAAATAAAACTATCCTCCCAAAATGAAATAACTATTAATTACACTGAGTGTTACATACAAAAAAAAAAAAAGAGAGGCTAGTCATTGAAAAAGCATAAGGTGATCAGGGAGGCTGACTATAAGCTATAGCTTAAAATTTGAAAAGGAGACAGCCACGGGATGAATTCTGAGAGTGGAGTTTCAAGAAGAAGAAAAAGGGAGCCCAGTGCTTGGCACCTTCCTACCCAGTATCAGAAAATGAACTACTGTAATGATACACAGTTCAGCTATGGCGGAGCGTCAGAACAGTAATCAGGATGGCTGATCTGAATTTTGTTTCTTGTGCCTAGAGAAGATAGTGAAGGGTTATAAGCAAAGAGATACAATCTAATTTATGTTTTTGGGTGTGTGTGTGTGTTTGTGTTTGTGCACCTGTGTGTTTGTTTGGTAAAGTTGATACAGACTGTCATATGGAGAATTGATTAGAGAAGATAAATACGTAAGTAGCAAGACCAGATGGAGGGCCTTTACCCTGACAACTGCATCAGAAGGAGATGGAAAGAGACAGATGGCTTTGAAGTAGAATCTATAGGACTTGCTCAGAAATACGTTGTATAGAATGGGCCAAAGGGAGGACTCTGTTAAAAACATGTTTTCTTATTTGATCAATTAGAAAAATAGTGAACCCAATTACTAAGGTGAGAAAAATTGCAGAAATAGCAGATTTAAAGACTAAATCAATCTGCCTTTGAGAAACATAATTTGTTTATAACCATGAGTATGTCTACAAATTAATCTTCAGGGGCCAGAGTTCTAAATTAGAATATCTTTTCCTCAACTGGGTATTCCAGACCAAAAGATGCTGGTATGATACGTCCTCAGGTCTTCTCTTTTATCCTACCGTTTTGTAACTAGAAAAATAATTTTTCACAATTGCCTTTAGACACATTTGGAGAAATATTTGATATACACATGTATTTATTTTTTCATGTGCCTGATGACTAATTCTTGCAACAGTGCCCTATTTTCTTGTGACTGGGTATTATGCATTGGCTCTGGGTGTCTTTCTTCATTTTGACATACATTCTACATAATATTGTAGAAATATTTTATACTATCTGGTTCTCACTGTTGTCTAGTTTCAACATGAATTAAGAATATTTTTTTTAATTTTTGCTGACTTTTGAGATAGTTCAGGAATCTTTTGAAAAAGATAAAGAATTAGTAGCTAGCTCTTACCCTGTTGTCTTTTTCTAAAATCCCAAATATCTGTTCATTAAATTCATCCGTATATAGAACACTACTATGACTTCCAGGGCATGCATAAAAATAGGGATTTAAAATTAAATAGGCCATGTGACTACTGAATGCATTTGCCATGGTTATTCGAGTCAAAATCTCTAATTTGAAAAAATGATTACTACAATGGATTACGAGTAGCAGATCTGAAGTTAGAGGAGGCATTAGAAATCTTTCATTTAAAAAACTTACTAAATTTTAGATACAAAATATCTTCATCAGCAGGTGCCATGCAGCTCAGAACAATTATTTTAGACTTTAATAAAATAAGCCCATGGATACAATTGTCTTTATTAAAATATGTTTTATAAATAGGTTTAATTTGCCTGATTTCAAATAGAGGCTAAGAATTAAAAAGAAATCACACGCACAAAATCTTGAGAATGTTTTTAGGACTTAGATCTTTGCCCTTATTAGAAAAGCCTTACATAGCTAAATAAATAAATAGATATTATTTTAACATTTTAGAGGTGACAATGCACCCTGATCCATATATGATATATGTAATTTGCCTAATATCTTTGTTTAGGGTAAAATGAAACAAACGTGAAACAAACAAAAAATATTTTTGTGTAAATGGGAATAGCCATTTAACTTTTAATGTTTTACCCTTTCTAGTTAAGAATTACTATTACCAGGATAATTTGTTTTAGAGAAAGGAAACCTAGATCTAATGAGTGCCAAACTTTGTGCTATGGGATTTACGTATAAAATCTCCTTTAATTCTCCTAAAATCCCCTTGTTTATCTTTATTATATAAGATATATGTGATATACAGTCAGATTAATTTATGCAACTTAACAGATGTTGGTTATGACAGAACTCATTTTGTTTCATGATATCAGAGTGGTTTTCCTGTACCTAAAATGCAGCACTAGAAGATAATGGTATAACATTCTCTTGCATATACTTTATAAAGCAGTTGATCATAATACTGTTTTTTCATATGTAGCTACCCATGATAGAACATGATCCTCTGCATTCTAAAGTATATAACAACAAAAGAATATCATAATTACTAAAGCAATTAATCCTTGTTTTAATACATTGATTTTCTTATTAAAGTCATAGTAAAGAATTCAATGATAACTTCATAAACTGAAAATACATTTCTTGGTTTTTAAGGTAACATTTATAATGCTTAATAATATGTTACTGACAAAATGCTCTTCATAAAAATCAGCCAGTAATTTAATCCACCTGGTGGAAAAATAAATAAATGAACATATCTAAGTACTTGATAATTAAGTTATTCAGTGTAATCACAAGATATCCTATTTTGGATATTTCAAAAGGCTCTAATGAAATAGAGCCTAGCTGGAGTTTTTATCTTTTCTTGCTTTTATCAATAAGAGGCCTACTGAGAAAACACAACGCAGAGAAAATTTTGAAATAGTGTATATTTAATGCAGGTGATTTGTTACTCCAGTCATGTAAAATCTAAGTCACATAGAGGACAGTGAGGTAATACAAAGTTCAGAAGCAACCACTCTGAAACTGGCTGACCAAAATAAAGAGGTGTTCCATGACCCCGGGTCATTTGACCAAATCAAGCAACAACCAGCTGTCCAGAGAGCATGGCAAAGTGCAACTGCAAAGGCCTCCTATCTTGTGATTAATAGAGAACAAAAGAAAAAGGGAGGAACACATCTAAGAGCAAACAGATCAAGCACCAGCTAAGATAGTTTTGCTTGCGGTGAAGAAATAACTTCCTTTTTGTACTATATCCATCAACACTCTAAAGTAAGAAGTTACATTTTTTTAAAAAAATTTAAAAGGATTTTAAGTCACAGTATTTTCAACGTCTTTTTATAAAATGTTGCCCAAATATTTCAGTATTATTATCTTTTGTCTATGTTTTAGTTGATCTTACACTTACCAAATGCAATACCACATTCTGAATATAAATGCATAATAACTATATAAGTTTATTTAAAATTTCTTGAAAGGGACAATTTTATTCTCGGATAAATAATTTAAAAAACACTTTCTAAGATGGAGAAATAATAACATCACTCGAGGTTAATGCAACAAAGAAACCAGTATTTATTCTTCAGTATGCTTTAAAATATATTTTCTTTTCCTAAGAATTTGTAGGCTGATGTACGTGCAACGGTTGGCAATCTAAGGACTGTGGGCAAAACCCTGCTACGAGTTTTTGTGAATTAAGTTTTATTTACACAAAGTCACACCCCTTTGTTTAAGTATTGTCTGTGGCCATTTTGGCTTACTATGGCAGAGGTGAATAGTTGTGACAGAGACCATATGGCTGACCAAGCCTAAAATATTTACTAACTGAATTTTTAAAGAAAAGACCACAGGCTTAGGAAGTATTTGTTTTATTTTTGTTTTTAACTGAAACCTCCATTAAAAGAGAAATCTAATTTTACTTTTTATATTACTTAGGAATAGCAGAAAACAATTATCACAAAACCAATTATATCTACCTCATATGCCCTCAATATAAATATAGACCTAGGGTAGATTTTTTCTTTCTTTCCTTTTTTTTTTTTTTTTTTTTTTTGAGATGGACTCTTATTCTGTCACCCAGGCTGGAGTGCAATGGCGAGATCTTAGCTCACTAAAACCTCCACCTCCTTGGTTCAAGCAATTCTCCTGTCTCAGCCTCCCAAGTAACTGGGATTACAGGTGTGTGCCACCATGCCTGGCTAATTTTTCTATTTTTAGTAGAGACAGGGTTTCACCATGTTGGTTAGGCTGGTCTCGAACTCCTGACCCTATGATCTGCACCTTGGCCTCCCAAAGTGCTGGAATTACAGGCGTGAGTCACGGTGCCCAGCCTACCTAGGGTAGGTTTAAACTTCACATAAAGCACGATTATTTTACCAGTGGAAACATTTGAACTACCCAAATTAGGTTATCTTACAAATATGCTTAATAACTTAATTAATTGGCAGGTATTCTTTAGAAAAGTTATTCTTTTATTTTTTTACCAGGTAGATTTAATGAACTTTTTATTAAACAGGAGTTCATAGTAAAGCAAAAGTTGTATGTATTTATTTTCACAGCCATTGGTAACATAATACTTCTTGATGCTTTTAAAGAAAAATTCTTCTCAAAAGACTCCATCTATATACGATAAATATATATTTACATAAATACAAGTGTCTCAAGCAAAGTTAATGATTCTTAATTTGGTAACTATTTTTTTTTTTAC